TGCAGGGTGGTGTGTGAGTGCGGCCGGGTCTGGGATGCAGTGGGGAGGATGCTGGTGGTTGGGGCTGTGGCTGGTGTGTCCTGGGCTTGGGTGCCATGGGCTGCAGAAGCAAGAGTTTGCTTTTGGTGAATGGTGGTGATTTCTGCAGAAGTTTTCTTGTAGGAAGAGGAAGGCACAGCGGTGATCTCCATTCCAGTGGGTAGGTGAGCAGAGATTGTGGATGGAGTGTGGCTGGGAGGGAGAGCTGGAGCAGAGGAGACAAAGCCTGCACTGGAGAGCTCAAGGAAGGAGCTGGTGGTGGCACCAGTGAGGCCAGCACTGGTGGCCAGGGCTGAGCTGGGCTGTGTGGGAGTGCTGCTGTGGGTCAGTTCTAGGGTCGATGAGGAAGTTGTCTTGGTGAACATCTCTCTTGTCTGAAAGGATATTGGTATTTGTGTAGAAACTCTGGTGATCTCAGTGGTGGAGGGCATTCTCTCCTCTGCTGTAGTCTCAGGAAATTCTGAGGAGGCTGAGGTGGTAAAGTAGGTTTTGAGGACAGAACTGGAATCTGTGGATGTCTGAGGTGAGGCTGTGGATGGAGTGAGGCTGGGAGGAAGCCTTGGAGTAGAGAAGAAGCCTGCACTGGAGAGCTTAGGGGAGGAGCTGGTGGTGTCCTCAGAGACGCCTGCAGTGGTGCCCAGGGCTGAGCTGGGCTCCTCTGTTGTGCTGGTTTGGGCCAGTGCCTGGTTCCGGGAGGAAGCTGTCTGTGTGTCTATCTCTGTTGTCTTTGCAGAACTCTGTCCAGTTGTGGAATCTGTGGTGTCCCCAGTGGTGGAGGGGGTGCTCATCTCAGCTGCTGTCTCAGTAAATTCTGAGGTAGCAGAGATAGTAAAGTGAGTTTGGGGGATAGAACTGGAATCTTGCACAGTGGACACTGCTGTGTCTGAATAAGTTGGACTTGTGTGGAGGCCTGAGGAGACCCAGGAGGTGGCTGAGATGTCCTGTCCACTTGTAGTCTGACTTGGAGTCAAGGTGCTCACAGGTGTTAATCCTGTGTCCATCCGCTCGGTGGTGTCCTGGAGAGTGGAGGTGAGGAGTGTGGTGCTGGACACAGGGGAGGAAGGAGCAGGAGAACGTGAGCCTGTGGGGCCTGCAGGTGTCAGGGCTCCTGTAGAGCTCAGAGGTGGCACAGCTGGAGTTTGTGTTGAAGACAGGGATTCAGGGGATGAGGTTGATTGCCTGGTGATGATTGAGTGGGGAGGAGTCTGGGATGCAGTGGGGAAGGTGCTGGTTTCTGAGACTGGGGCAGATGTGTCCCAAGCCCTCATGCCATGGGATGCAGATGCAGGAATTGGTGTGTGGACAGTGGCGGTGATTTCTGTAGGTTCGGTGCTGTGTGAAGAGGAAGTGATCAGGCTGTTTTCCATTCCAGTGGGTGTATGAACAGAGTCTGTGAATGGTGCAAGACTGGGAGGGAGGTTTGCAGCAGAGGGGAAGAAGCTTGTAATGGAGAGCTCAGGGGAGGAGCTGGTGGTGGCATCAGATATGGGAACAGTGGTGTCCCAGGATGAGCTGGGCTCCTCAGGAGTGCTGGTGTGAGTCAGTGCTGTGGTCCAGGAGGACGCTGTCTGGGTGGCCATCTCTCTTGTCTGAGCGAAGCTTGATATTTGTGTGGAAGCTGTGATGACCCCAGGGCTGGAGGGCGGTCTCTCCTTGGCTGTGGTCAAAGGAACTTCTGAAGAGACCAAGAGAGTAAAGT